CGGTACGAAAGCAGAGTTCGATTGCGTACTCTGTGTGTTCCTCAAAATAGGTCCAATCCCTGTCCACCTTACATTTTACCACTAAACTTGTATGCATTACGAGTTTGGCAGCAATCAGTAAAGTTTGGTTCACTGTATTTTGCTGTACGATGATGATGATCGCGTCTCCGAAGCATTGCTCTTGTCTGGTGGGGACATTGGGTGAACAATGACAAGGTCCATCGTCGTATGCTTTTGGTCTGGATAGTCGTTCCCCAACATAAGTAATCGCTCTACGCCATCTCCGATGGCTTGGTCACGTTTTGTGTATGCCTGCCCATCGACTACCTTTGCACTCTCTCTCTCTTTGCACGTGGCAGACAAGGCTTGAAGATAAGCCGCTGCGGTCAAACCATGACATGGCGTAGAGGTATGAAAAGGCTAGCTTCCGCTTTCGCTTCGGTTGGTGCAGCCCGCCTTCCAGGTTGGGGCCCAAAGGATAAGGGCTGTCGTTGATTAGAGACGCTGAGAGATATGACCCAGAATAGAATTCAGTGGCGCGACTGCTGTACGGTCTGTCTATCGAAATCCCGTGCCCCGTAAAAATAACAAACAACACACAAAAGATATCTAAAAGCGTACAGTGAAACACGAAACAATTGTCATTTTTTATTGATTCGTAATCTTCCATTCTAACATTTTCGTCTTTTTCCTTATTCTCTGTCTCCCAACCCCCTTCCGTTATTGTTATTGTTAATATTGTTGTGGCTTTGGCACCATGCTTGTTCTCAAGCCGGTGTATATATATATATATATCCCCAGTTTGATTGAAGTCAGCTTTGCAGGAAGCGCCTTATTTTGCATCTATTAAGGATACTTGTTCGGTCACATTGCGCGGTTTTCACATCCCAACGAATGCCCGTTTTGATCTTTTTTTATTCACCTGTCTTTATCTTCTTGCAAGGATTGTTACGGTTGAATGCCATGCTGTCGTTTAAGCACTGTGTGATTGCTTCATCGGTTCGCATCGTCTTCTACCTCACCCGTAACCTTACACGGTTAAATTCCCCTCTGACCTTCTGCGTTCAATCGGATAGTTTCCCATGATTTACGCAGCTTGACACGGAGCTGTCTTATTACCGAATCGTATTGTTTGTGATACTTCTGTTGTTTCCTGATGTCCAGTTGTGTGCTGCACAGCCGAAGTTCCCTAGGCATGTTTGCTGAACTCGCATTGCAGAATCCGTTACGAATCATGTGCTGCTCAAGTGTTGTCCTCAACCATTGATAAAAATCATTTTCCAATAAGTATTTCTGCATTTTTTCTCTCCCTCCGTGCTGTTCATGATTTCTCCTGGTTGATAGACACGCGCAAATTTTCACATTTAATCTCATCCCCACATATTAGGCAGATGAGCTTGCTCGCAATCGAACCGAGGTTGACTACGGGGAGATTCCATCCGAGTTCTGCGACACTCTCATCAACACCTTAATGGATGACCCGGTCATGTTACCGCAGTCTCAGGCTATTGTGGACCGGAGCACAATTATGCAACACTTATTGAATCAGGAAACAGATCCGTTCAATCGGCTTCCCCTGCGCGAAGATGAACTTATTCCATGTGAGTATTATTGTGCTGGGACTCGCAGACTGAGATTCTTGCTTCCAGATTATCTGCAGCTTTTTATATTTATTGTCTTATTTTGCAGTTTTCTCAACTGTTGGTTTTACAGTTTCATGCGTCTGTTTTGGAGTTCAGTCTTTCAGTTATCCATTGGGTCGACCATTGAAATAGTATGATGGAAGAAGTATAAATCCGAGAGCATCATCCAGAAATAGTATATGGGTGCATTAGATGCGTGCAGACGGTGATTTGATGTACAATTGCCATCGATAACGACGTTTAGTACCGCAGTTCCCGTAAGCTGTTCCACATCATCTGAGTCACCAGTAGAATGGTCTCGGTTGTGAGCGAAACGATCTGCGAGATTGACGGCTCGCTCATGCATAATCGAGAGCGATGTCTTGTACGCTGCGCGGAGCACTTCAGAGCACAGTCTAACTGGCCACCAGTGTAAGCTTCTCCGTTAAGGGATCCAAGCCTCGGGAAGCCGCAAAGCACCGGGATTTACTTTACAGATCGTAGGATAAAGCTTGTTGGAGAATGGTCAACTCTGTTCTATAAAGTGTAGAACACTGAGTACGTCCCCTTCTCTAGGGGGGGGGGGAGCCGATTGTCGCCCTCATCTTTAAAAGGAGCCCCCGCAGTGACTACGCCAATCATAGGGGTACCCGCCTTATCCCAGTGGCGTCAAAGTTGCTGGCGCCCGTCTTTCTCCGCCGATAGTACACTATTTGCTCTTGGACACCCGCGCGGCCTTCGACTTTGTCGATAAGACCGCACTCCGGAACTGTTTGTTGAAGTATGGAGTACATGAGAAATATTTGTCGACCCTCAACGAGTTGTATCGTCATACTTGACGAATGCCGATGGTATTGTCTTGTTGAGTTACAATGCACAGGTAGTCCAGCATCCTTTAAACTGCTTATTCGAGACTGTCAGGAACCTGTGCCTGCGCTGACCGTGTGTGACAATCAGACGGAAGTAGTTGAGAAGTTTAAGTACCTCTGAGCTTGATCGCATTTGGTCGTAGCGAAAGCTAGACTGGCTTTGACCAACCTGCGACAACTATGGCCCTGCCATGACATCCGACTAATCCTCAAGGGAAGAATGTACATAGCCGCGGTTTGTAGTGTTTTGCTTTACAGTTGCGACACCTGGCCTCTTCGAGCGAAATATTGCTAATCGACTTTCTGTAATCGATCACCGATATCTCCGAAACATTACTGTTATCTGGTGAGAACATCAGCTGAGCAATGACGAGGTTCATCGTCGTATGTTGAATTGCGTACGCCTGCCCATCTACTCTCGTTTCGTGCTCTCTTTGCACGTGGCGAGCAAGGCCGGAAGAAGCGCTGCGGCAGTCAGACCGTGACATGGCATAGATGTATGAAGAGGCTGGCTTCAGCTTTGGCTCCGGTTGGTGTATCCGGCTTTCCATGTTGGTGCCCCTAGAGAAGAGGC